CATGACAGAAAGACGTATTGAGTGTGGGTGCCCCAAACGAACATGCCAAAGTAGGTACATGCAAAGTACGGGACAAGGATATATTTGGATTGTCTACTTGACCCACTCCTGTCACTACCATTCTATCACCATTAGCAACTGTTAGTCCAAATGACTAATGGATTTAATATTTGATAGAGGACTTACTATCTATCATTAGTCATGTGATTATAATATCCTGAATCAAGCAAGCAAGGTTTGTTTTTTTACTTTACCTTGAAAAGTAGACAAGGCCAAACCTATAGAAGTGGGAAGGGAATTTTGCAATGTTGCCACAGCTTGAACAAGTTGCTCCAGTTGAGCTGTCGTGACACCCCCTGTCGGCGATCACTTGATTCCCCAGCTTCAACAGTATATGACGGCCGATTGAATCTTCCATGTGGCCCTCGGTCACCTCCTGTCGATGGTGGGTTGCCAACAAATCTTTCTGCATTGTGTTCGCGGGTGCGACACTCCAAAATAATATGCCCCATTCTCTTGCAATATACACAATAATTCCTTCGGCGACAATGCTTCACCAAATGCCCTTTCTCATGGCAATGATGGCACTCAAGCTCGGCATTAGGTACTCTAGCCAGGCCCCATACCTGAACTTGTCGAGTGAGCAGAAGCAGCGGTGAACGTCTCGCCTTCACCTGGGCGCACATCAAACTGAGCTTGAGTTCTCAAGCGTGTCTCTTCGCGAACTAGGCTACTGATCACTCCTTTGAATGTAAGCCTCTACTTGTTCAGAATAGTAGCTCAAATATTCTCATATTCTGGTCGTAGTCTCATGAGGAATTGCATAACTCTTGTTTGTTGGTGTTCAACAATCGCATCATCAGACATGGCTTGCGGCCTCCGTGCTAAATGAATCATATCTTGCTTCGTCCATAACTCCTGTGCAGCACTGAAATACTTTGTGACTGATCGATCTCCTTGTGTCAATCAAGCAAGGGCAGTCTCCACCTCAAATTGTCTAGCAGCACTGGTGGTGGAATATAGACCCGAGAGATGCTGCCACATCCAATTGGCGGTAAGAAACAGACGACGTAGGCTTAGGAAGGCTGATGGATCGTCAGATCCTAGAAGCCAAGAGCGAATGCAGGCGTCACTTTGGATCCATGTTGCCTTCTCCTGGGGGCATGGCCGACACAACAATCGGTTGTGGAACCGTATCATCCAAAATTCCCAACAATCCCCTTCCTTCAACAAAAATTTGAAATTGGAATTCCCATAGTGCGTAGTTTGTCGATGCGAGGTGCGTCGTTGGCCTCTTCGAATAAGTCGCGGTCGGCTCTGATACCATGTTGACAGATGCAGAAATAGTGTAATACGATACGGAAAGGAAATCAAACACAGACACCGAAGTTTACGTGGTACCCCTGGATATTATCCAGAACTAATCCACGAAAGAGTTTTGAACGCTCTTCAGGCTACTGATTTTACTATGATGAGTGATGAATGAGAAGATGCAGTCGGCCAATCTCCTTCACCCCCCTATACATCAAAACGTGCCCTAGGTTTATACTCTACCCACGTCTAACCGTGCATGGCCTGCATGAGGTCTACGTATGGGCTTAGTAAAATGGGCCCCAACTATAACTCGACTACAACACCAATAAACTGTAGCCATCGAACCCTTAATACGCTAACAGTTGTTGTTAAATATTGTATCAAAATAGAAAGATTTTTCATTTTGTTTGAAATGTTGTATTTTATTTAATTATGAATGTAGTTTTGAGAGATTGTCTTCAAATATGTTTTTTAATGTAGCTAAATTCATTTAGCGTTAATCATTTCCCACTTACCTATATAATATAAACCAGTTGTACCACTGATTGGACCATACTACTCGCCAAACCGATATAACGGTATAAACATGTTGTGTACAATCACCCCTCAACTCTAAAAATCATATAAATTTTCACGTAAATTTATAATAAATTTTAAAAATATTGCAATTGATCTGGCTTTTGATCCCATTCATTCAGATTTTTTACTCCGACACCGTGTGCTGACCTAAGCAAACGCTTAATTTTCTCCCCAACGGATTAGGATGTAGGCTGGTTTGGCGAGTCAAATAAGCTCACGCTACCTACACTACAAAACTCAACGTGTTACGTACCCAGGCTTAATTAATTCCTCACGTCTCTCTGTGGCTGACTGTTAATAAATTTTTTGTTGTCTCTCTGCCTGCCTTAGCTTGCTTGCAAATATATTACAGCATGCAACTTGCCAATTTGCTGAGCTGCATCCTTACCAAGTTACCACCAAATTTCCTTCCCCAGTCATTATCATATATACCAATCATGTATCTCCCTCCTCATACGTTAGCGTATGTTCGTCCACTTGTGTTCCTCACGTGAACCTTGCAGTGCGACTACTTCTCACTTGTGTTCGTATTTGTATACATTAATTAGCGTTACCACAATCCTTTATTTTTCACTAACACATGATTTTTTTTTTTGTGATGATATGACATCGTAATAGGAGTTTCCTTGTCGTAAGTCTCAACCAAGAAAGAGAGATTATTGGATGACTTAGTTTCCATATTAAGGAAGAGAGAAGTCACTATCAGCGTCGACGATGATCACGACCATCGAGCTTCTCGAGACGTAGTGGTTGATCGTCACGAAGAATACCCCATTCGTGTGACAAACAGGTGGAGGGATGATCTCGTAAGTGGCAATTGAGTGAGGAAGTGGGGATGAGTTAGTTCATAATCTCGTGAAATTTTTAGTCGCGGAGGAAAATCGCACAGTGTGGTCGAGAACAAAGGAAGACTTAAGACTCTTTATGAAGAAAAAGAAACTATAATTGCGTCTCGCACGTAGGTAACTTGACCCCTCCTAGGGTGTGCAACGGTTCGGTCCGGTCCGTACTAGACCAAACTCATGAGAATCGCGATCCATTAGTGAAAGACATCTTAGAACCAAGGACCAGACCATCATTGTCAGTAATTGTAAAATTCATGTGAACCAAGCACCATACCGCATTAGACTCGGTACGATTCGTTACAAACTTCGGTTTGATCCGGCATGATCCGATACAGACCGGACCATTGCACACCCCTCCATCACCATCAAGAGTTATATATGACTTCTTCCACCCTCCCTTTGAAAAAGAAGAAAAGAAAGGTGAAGAAAGATAATAATGTTGTGGAACGTGTGATGGATATTGGTTTCTTTTTTTCTTTTTGGGTTGATATTGGTTTTCTTATTTGCTTTCCCACCTGAATATCTACCGTTCAAGGAGTGGAAAAAGGCAAAGACAAAGCAATTCGATCCAAACTGTATATTTTAATAATTCACCACCCGCTGGCCGCTGCTGCTACTTCTTCACGGATCACGCTCCCACGCTCTCCATTATTATTATAATAATCATTCACCGGACGGCCCACACCACCGGCACTGAACGGAGGAAAGGGGACCAGACACACTTGACGACTTTCCCACTGTCTCACAGCCTGTTGCCACCATTGGTACGTGTGATGAAATAGCCGTCTTCTACTCTTCTTACCTCCTGCTGACAACCAAATTTGCTACTGACTCGGATTCGTCATCATCAACAACTCAGAACTCAGAAGGCATACCACTTATAGATCAGAGCACCAAACTTCAGCAAAATCCAAGATTGTATCGACTGACTGACATCGAAGTAAAGTTCAAAAATTCAACCAAGCAGCTCTTACCCTTTTGTGGATGGAGTTCCCCTGTGCTACATTTTGGAGATGTAAATGAATGTATATGCGGATGGGGGATGCTGATGATGCAGGGACAGCAGAGGAGAGGGCGGCATTCATTGACCGACAATGAAGCTTTTTCATAGGGAAGGGAGGAATGCAAGCCCTTACAAAATCTGTGGAGAATCACTGAACTGCCTCAAGTAAGTTCCTGTATCAGATAATGTTTCCTTGTGCAGCACCTGGGAGGTGTTCTCTATTTGGTGCTTACCTGATATCTCCATATGTTTGTCCAACTGAACCAGGCTATGGACAACTGATATCAAGCTGGGAGGCTAGGTTCGCTTACGGTTGGAGCATGACCTAAACGGATAGTCTACAATTTCAGCTTTACAGAAATAGCCCAATGCTCAGAGAGAAATAAACATTGAGCACATTGAACTTGTGAAACTGCTCTCTTGATTTCAAGATTGCCTTCTTCCCACCACAGAACAGTATCAAACAAACATAAGGAACTGAGGCTCTGCTAAGGCAATCAGCATCCAAAGACAAAATCTAGTTTACCGCTAGCAGCAAAAGAAGCAACTAGGTATACATCAACAGATTGAGATATAAGCAACTCGCGAATTCGCTGCTATGCCACTACTTTCTTCTTTTCCATTCCTCAAAACAACTTGCACAACTTACTACTGACAGCAATCTCCTCAGGCTATGAAGGAGACCGCATACAAGAGTATGATTCAAATCTTTTTTCCTTATCAGGTCGAAAAGAGTATTATTCAAATCTTTGCCTAGAACCCACCAAACTAGTAGTATACTCACAAAGCAATAGCACATGATCAGCCAATGCTTTTCTCCAAATAAGGATCATGGTCTTCTGTAAACACATACATACACATTATATATGTATAAGAAACCTCAAATAATCTTCCAGGAGAACCATGGAACTAATTATCAGCAGTGTAAAGAATGTGCATTACAAACAGAAAGATATAACTCGAGTCACATAATGTTAGGCAGATGATCCTTCCAGCTGGTTTTGCTTCATTCCTGCTGCGTGTACACGAATCTGCAAGTTCTGAAATATACAAGAAGGAAACATTATGAGGAGAAGGGCTGTATCTTACGGAAAGAAACCAGAAAGTATATTCGACCCAATTCAATTCTACTAGGTAGCTAGCTCAACTCTGCAACTAAAGCAGTAAACCTAATTATTATCCGGCAATTGATATCACAATTGCTGAAAAGAACCAAAAAGAAGAATTACGCAGTGAAGCAGGCATCAGTACCTTGCGATTTAGGATTGATCTCTGGATTTCTCTAGAGCGACCCTTTCCTGCTGCTCACGGCGGAGGTCGTGGGAAGGCTTCACCCAGAGATAGTAGGCAATGGATCCGGCGACAATCCAGGAAGCGACACTGGTTCCGCCTCTAAGCCCTCCCATACAGTTCCCCACGAACGACCTCACGTTGCCCGTCGCTCTTCCCCATCCACCTCTCGACGACATCCCGTCAGACTCTCTCCACTCAGTCACCGGTATGTTTTCTCACCCTCCGTCGACGATAACTATGAATCGGAATCCCCCCACCGTCTCCCAAGATCCCAACTTGTTTAGATTTAGACAAAATTCGTGACATGAACCGCCACAGGGAATGTTAAATGGGCCTTTTGAGTTTCGATGGCGGGTTTTAGTAAATTGCAATTGGGCCACAGCAAACAAAGAGTTTGCCGCGGTGGGCCCAATTCTTTCGATCTTTCATTCTAGCCCCGCTCGTATGTTCTCAACTATTATATATTATATGGAATTAGTTTTGTGCCCGCCCGATGGGCGGCGAGTTACATTTGTTTGTACCTTTACTTCTATTATATATCCTTTTTTCAAAGGTATCGGACTCCTAGTTTCCATATTTATTTATTATTGTAATCTATTATTCGTGTTTCATCATATATGAGGGGCGCTTTGAATAAAAAAAAGATATAAGGGGCGCTACATTTAATCAAAGTTTTAATCACGGTCAACAATAATGTCAAACAACGTTGTAACTTCATCACTGCTTGGAAAATAGTATTCATACCATCTAAGCTTTGATTGACCTGCAATTTTCAACTTCATAAGTTGTACATGGTTTAAGCTAGCGTACACCACCTTACCGTACTCATTTCGAGTTTTGCTATTTAGACCATTAATTAACGGAGTTTGGGACATGATACTACACCATAGTCTCTAATGGGCGAACCCCATTCTCTAATTCTCAATCCAAATCTTAAGATTCATTTAATACAAAAATAATAACCAAGGATTATTATTTGTCAAAATATATTAAAGAACAACTAATAGGTGTGAACGAAGGTGTATATTACACCTCGATTGTACGCTAGCCTTTTCTACCATTATATTAAAGTACAACCAAACTTGCTATGCTTCTATATTACCTTCAACATTTTATGAATGATATCAAATCGAAATGCTAGTTATAGAGACACTTTTTCTTCGCTTCACATTATCATCCAATATTAAATGTGTGACAGGTTGTAATTGGAATTGTGTGATAACTTAATACAAACATAAAGGCGCCATGTTGTGCAATTAGTACAATAGATGAATTTACAGGACATTGGTCAGGGTATGATCTTGCGTTGGTTTTATAGGACTCTGGTTCGTGTATGTTCCGCACTGTTATACAGGATATCGGTCGGGTTATGAACCCCTAGTGGATTTACAGGACACCAGTCTAGGTACGATCTACGGTGGTGTACAATACATCTAATGTACTATCCGGGGAGTGTATGACTTGGCAAATTAAGAAGTAAAAAGCACTGAACCTAACTATGCATGTGATTGAATTCTTGTGTAAAGATTACTTATGATGTGGTTAAGTGATGACTTCCTATGATGTGATATATGAAATGTGCATGTCGATAATGATGGTTATGTGATGGTTTTCTATGGTGTTTTAGACAATGATTTACCATTAGATGGTGTGATGTTTCGCTATGTTGGGACGGGGTTAAATGGTAATGCCGATATGATGTGATACTTGATGCTTACATGTTTATACAGTGAGTTATCAAGAGGCTGGGTGATGGTCCTTATGTTGTTAATGTATGAATTATTTGAGTTTGAGATAATGAATGTGGTATGACATGTGGTGATGAATGAATGTTTATTTGACTGAATGAGATATATCATATCGGATGTATCTTGACAGTTAAGTTAAGCGAGTAAGGACTGAGAGGTGTGTGACGGAAAACTGAATACTCCATATTTTGCCATGGTCACTGGAAGGGACAATAAGTATGGAGAAGAATTATATCATTATCTTATGAGTTGGGTTATCCGGCCAGTATAAATGGTTACTAAAAATAGAATAGTAATATATGTATTAGTGTGTCACATTAAGTAAAGATTAAAATAGCTATTTACAACTCAACCATTATATATATTAAGATTCATTTATAAATCTTTTTTAATCAAGATGCTATGCATCTGAAGATGACTAAGTTGCAAATCTACACTCTAGGAAAAAAAGAAAAGAACTAATGTCAAACAATAAAAAGAAAAAATTATAATTACATAAGGAAAAAAAGTAAAGACAATGTGTTTTATAATTGTGCATGGAGGAAAATTCAATGACGTACGAAAATTTGAAAATAGAATGAAATTGGAATCGCATAAAAGAAAAGATAATGATACCATTTAATATGCGAGAAACGTAAAATTCATTCCCTAAAGATGACAAATACATATGTATATGTACATTACTTTTCTTGTAACTTCTTACCAATTGAGCACGGACATATCTTAACATATAACCATAATTCGGTTTCGAAAAAGATACAAAAAAATTGGTGACCATTGGTGTCTGGATGAAATTGTTGTGTATCACTAAATTGAATTATGTTGATATATTTCATTAATCTTAAAATATAGTGTTGGGGAAGTAGGAAAAAGCCCAAGCCCATGAGGAGGAAAGGAGAAAGCAGGCCCAAACAATGAATTAGGGCACTTAGCGGAGGACAGGCGCATGACGACAAAAGAAGAATGTGGACAAGTGGTACGGATGGAAGAGCTAGGAAAGAGGCCACCTGGCGAAGTGGTCCCTGCTGGGCGCCTCCTATCGGGGTGTTCTCAGGCGGCCACGTACAGGCGCCTGACTCTTGTACGTACAACGCATTAAATGAGGCGATGACGTGGGTTCAAGTGCCAGGATGACCGTTGGGACTTCGGCGAGTATAAATAGTACTCGGTAGGTAGCATTTACGCAGGTTGGCTTTTCTCACTAAAATATTTCTCGGCACTTATCTCTCTAGAAAAGTGCACTGACTTGAGCTTCAGAGTGCTAACGGGTCGACCAAGGCCCTTAGGCGCTTGTGGGTGCAGGTTCCAGGCGCTCTTATAACGGAGAGTGACGAGGTGGAGGATAAGCGCTAGTGGGTATCCGGGCTCGAACAATTGGCGCGCCAGATAGGGGCGCGAGCAAACGAAGAGAGTAAGCGCATGGAAAATATGAACGAAGGGAACGATGGAGAAGGTAATTCAAGATCGGGGAACTCGGATCACGAGGAAGGCGAGCGTCAACTGAGTCAGGAGTTGAGCATGGACGTGGAGGGATAAGGAAACCCTGGGCGCCTGTCCGCTGATGATGGCGAGTCCCTGACGAAAAGAGAGTTGTTCCGAATCATAGCCGACCAAGATCGGGCCATAGCGGCGCTCAGGAGGGAGTTGGAAGGGGAACGAAGTGAAGATGTGATGATGTACAGCCCGGGGGTACGAAAGCGGGAAAGAGTGGGGGAAGATTCAGAGTCTCTGCAATACGGACTGCCGCATGCCTCCGAGCAGGGACACGACGTGTTTGGGCGCCCACGCGCCGGGAGGCCGAATGTTGAGCACGCACAAATAGGCCCCGAGGACGTCTGGGCGACTAGGAGGATTGCTCGAAGGTTCGGTGTTCGGCAACCTCTGGCACGATGTATCTTGATGGAGCCGGCAGGAACCACGATCCCCCCGTTACCAAGTTATGATGGGGTGGCTGACCCAGAAGACCACCTGAATAGCTACTTCACTAAGATGCAGCTCTACAACAGCTCCGATGCCACATTGTGCAAGGTGTTTCCATCCACGTTTGCAGGCGTGGTCTTGGATTGGTACCACCAAATCGAGGAGGGGCGCATAGAATGTTTCGAGCAATTTGCTGAGCTGTTTTTGTCTAAGTTTGCAAGCCGAAAGCGTATGACATTGACCATAGGGGCGTTGTTTAAAGTTAAGCAGCGGGAAGGCGAGGCGCTTAGGGAGTTCTATGATCGGTGGATCTCGGTTGCCATGGCAGTCAAGGATGTCCAGCCAGCGGTGCTAGGGGTTTGCTTGGATGCGTGCACCTCAAGCGAAGAGCTATGCCGAGTCCTTTCCAAGCGAGATGTGGTGTCCACCGAAGACCTAGACCGGAGAGTACATAAGGTGATCATGTTGGAAGAAATATTGGCGGCACGAAGAGCTGAAAAGAGGCGCCTAAGGAGTGACGAAGGGGAGGTGAGGCAGGCGCCCCGACCTGTTCTGGGAAATTTTGGTCCGCCAAGGAGACCAGAGGCGCCACGCCCCGTGCCAAGGAGTGTTGCAAATTTTACAGAATACAATGATACCCTCAAGAATGTGCTGCAATATGTGAAGGATAGGGTCTATCATATACGGTGGCCGGGACCCATGCGCGGCCAACCTAACGAGAAAAATCTCGACAGATATTGTGACTTTCATCGCGACAAGGGGCACCATACGGCCGATTGCTACCAGCTTAAGGCTGAACTTCAGACTTTGGCCGACAAGGGCATGCTCAACGACTTCGTGAGAAGAGTGGAGGACAGAATGCATCGAACCTATGTGACGAGGCAGGCGCTAGCAAATAAAAAGGCGCCTGAAGAGCCAAGAACCCAACCCATGGTGCCACCAATGGTCAGAGAAGCACCCAAAGAACCAGAAACTCAACAGGCGCCTATGATACCACCCCCTCCGTTTGAGGTAGACCAAGAAGGAGAGCCTAATCGCGTAAGGCTTACAGTCGAGTCCATAACGGGTACACTTGACCTGAGAGAGAAGTTGGAAAGAACTAGGCGCCTGAGGGCTGCGTCGTTGGAAGCAAGGGCATCCGTACACATCCACTTCAATCAAGAACCAGATGAGGCGTGCCAAGTCCCGTCGGAAGAGGCTCTTGAGATACAAGGGGTGATAGCCGGGTGTAAGGTGAAAAGAATGTTGGTAGACACCGGCAGTTCAATGGATGTCCTCTTCAAAAGCACCTTTGAACGAATGCAGCTAGCGCCTGAGTTGGTGCGCCCCTCAAGTTCTGTGTTGGTTGGATTCTCAGGAGCGCCTGCTCAAGTCATCGGACGTGTGCGCCTCCCCGTGACTCTCGGGGATGAAGCGCATTGTGTGACGCATGCGGTAGAGTTTGGAATTGTCGATTGCCCATCGCCATACAATGTGATACTTGGCCGACCTCTTTTGGCACAGTTCAA